ACTTACTGAGGGTGCACTCGATCCCCTCGTCCAGATCACAGATAACGACATGAAACAGAACTGGCCCCAGTACTGAGCCCTGGGGAACACCGCTTGTGACCCGCCACCAACTGGATTTCACTCCATTCCCCACCACTCTTTGGGCCCCACCATCCAGCCAGTTTTTTACCCAGCAAAGAGTGCACCCGTCCAAGCACAAGCAGCCAGTTTCTCCAGGAGAATGCTGTGGGAAACGGTGTCAAAGGCTTTACTAAAGTCTAGGTAGACAACATCCACAGCCTTTCCCTCATCCACTAAGCGGGTCACCCTGTCATAGAAGGAGATCAGGTTAGTCAAGCAGGTTAGTCACATACAGTGATACGGCCAAGCATTTCTTTATGAAAAGCTAAGTCTGTCTTACATGATATTCTCTGGAACATAGGAAGTCATGGACATCCCATCATTCTTAAACCAGGGACCCCAGGCCACCTGGAGGACCTTGATATGAAGATCCCCAAGGAGCCTTGAGGCAGGTAAACAGCACACAGAGGGAGTTTTAGAGTTCATTGGAGATCTCGTAGGTTGGTGGGGAGATGAAGGCACAGCTGTGCACTCACCACGTAGGAGATATATCAGTACCTCATAGAAGCCACGACTTAACTAGGAAGTCCTGACAAATGCAATGATGAAGGAGGGCATAGTCATACTCCAAGCCAGGACCAATGAGTATGTGCTTTTGAGTGGGTGTCTTGGTACGTTCATGCTTGGGGGCGACGAGTCATCAAACTCTTGGAAAGGCACAGAGATTTTCAGCCACTGAGTGGAGTCTTCTCCTAAGGGAGTCAAGAGTTTAATGGGAAACACTCCAGGGAATGATTAGGGAACCAATCCAGGCACACTCAGAACCAGAGGCATTAGTGACTGTCTGCAAGCACTCTTCTATACTCATCATCTGGTCATGTCAGAAAAAAACAGAGTCTAGGAATTCTTTAAGACATGCAGACCCTTGGGGTCATCCACTGTTCCTGCCACTGAGACACAAACAGGCAGGGCATGTGTGGTCTGCCCAGTGGGCAGATAAGCACCACACAGTCGCTCACTCACTTCTCCCTCCACCCTCAGTGGGACAGTGGAAGAGGAAAGGAAGAATAAAAACAAGAAAACTTGGGGATCAAGATAAAACAGACAAACAAACAAACAAGGAAATTGTTTAATAAGTGAAGTATAAGTGGAAGGAGAGGGAATAAAACAAAACGAAACAAGTGATGCAAAAGCAATCACTCACCACTTCCCGTGGAGAGACCAATGCCCAGCTAGTTCCCAAGCAAAAGATGGCTAATCCCCCTAAAGCCCCCTCTTTTCCCTTTTATTGCTGAGCATGACGTTATATGGTATGGAATATCTCTTTGGTTAGTTCAGATAATCTGCCTAGTTGTGTCCCCTCCCAATGTATTGTGCACCCCCCAATCTATTCACTAGGGGGACAGAGTGAGAAACAGAGAAAGCTTTGACACTGTGCAAACACTGTTCAGCAAAAGTTAGAACATTAATGTGTTATCAGTACTGTTTTGGTCAAAAATCTAAAACACAGCAGCGTATGAGCTGCTATGAAGAAAATTAACTCTATCCTAGCTAGGCCCAGTACATCATGTCATATGACAACACTGTGACAACCTCTTGGTATGCCATAAAAGTGTGAAAAGAACCTCAAAACCTACAGGTTTGATCCTAAAGGGTGTACAGGCTGACATGCCTCTAACATTCGGGGGATTTTGCCTGGATCGGATCTCTGGGCCCCAGCAAACAAAGCATCTGTGTACTGATTCCAATGGGACTTCTCTATAATGAAGTCTTTCATGACATCACAGGATCACAGGATAACTCAGGTGGGAAGAGACCTCAGCAGGTTTCTAGTCCAACCTCCTGCTCAAAGCAACATGAGCTCTGAGGTTACTCAGGGTTTTATACAGCTGGGCGTTAGAAAATCTCCAAGGATGGAAATTGCACAACCTTTCAGACCCTCAGGTTCTTTATCTCAGAGCTGATCCCCAGTAAGTCAGTCCTCAGCCTGTATCCTTGCAAGACATTCCACTTTCCCAGGGGCATGACTTTGCATTGGTCCTTGTTGAATTTCATAAAGTTCCTGTTGGCCCATTCCTCCAGCCTTACTAGGTGACAGACCTGCCTGCAAGCACATCGCCTATCCTCTCAGTTTGCTGGTACCTGCAAACTTGCTAAAAGTACATTCCGTCACCTTCTCCAGGTCACTGATAAAGATGTTTAACAGGACAGACCTCAGGACAGACCTCAGAACAGACCCCTGTGCTACTACACTACACTAGGCAAAGTACAACCTATTAACCATTAACCTCTGATTATCTTTAATATTTTTATCAATGATCTGGACGAGGGGATCGAGTGCACCCTCAGTAAGTGTGCAGACGACACCAAGTTGGGCAGGAGTGTTGATCTGCTTGAGGGTAGGAAGGCCCTACAGGGAGATCTGGAGAGGCTGGATCGATGGGCCGAGGCCAACTGTATGAGGTTCAGCAAGGCTGAGTGCCGGGTCCTGCACTTGCGTCACAACAACCCCATGCAACGCTACAGCCTTGGGGAAGAGTGCCTGGAAAGCTGCCTGTCGGAAAAGGACCTGGGGGTGTTGGTCGACAGCTGGCTGCATATGAGCCGGGAGTGTGCCCAGGTGGCCAAGAAGGCCAACAGCATCCTGGCTTGTATCAGAACCAGTGTGGCCAGCAGGACGAGGGAAGTGATTGTCCCTTTGTACTCAGCACTGGTGAGGCCGCACCTCGAACACTGTGTTCAGTATTTTTGGGCCCCTCACTACAAGGAAGACACTGGGGTGCTGGAGCGTGTCCAGAGAAGGGCAACGAAGCTGGTGAAGGGTCTAGAGCACAAGTCTTCTGAGGAGCGGCTGAGGGAACTGGGGTTGTTTAGCCTGGAGAAGAGGAGGCTGAGGGGAGACCTTATCGCTCTCTACAGCTGCCGGAAAGGAGGTTGTGGCGAGGTGGGTGCCGGACTCTTGTCCCAAGTAACAAGCGATAGGACGAGAGGAAACGGCCTCAAGTTGTGCCAGGGGATGTTTAGATTGGACATGAGGAAAAACTTCTTCACCGCAAGGGTTGTCAAGCATTGAAACGGGCTGCCCAGGGACGTGGTTGAGTCCCCATCCCTGGAGGTATTTAAAAGACATGTAGATGTGGTGCTTAGGGACATGGTTTCGTGGTGGACTTGGCAGTGTTAGGTTAACGGTTGGACTCGGTGATCTTAAGGGTCTTTTCCAACCTAAATGATTCTATGATTCTATGAATCTGATGGCATAACCGTTTTTTCATCCATCTAATTGTGCACCCAGGACTGTAATGTCCTCTCTTGAATGTTGGCAGAAGAACCTGTCCAGGCCTGGCACATATGCAACCTGCAGCCATTTGCCTCTATGTCCAAGGTTTTGCTGCAAGCTGTTGTGGCCGTGCAGGGCTGCATGACCCTGCCCTGCGCTGCAAGCAGACAAATGAAGCCCAGGAGAGCAGCCCAGCTGCATTTCCCTGAAGCTACCCCTGAACACAGGGCAAGAAGGGGCTTCTGGGGTCATTGGGGCTTGCCCTGGAGTCCAGTTCTTGGAGTTAGCAGGAGGCAGAGGAGGGAAAACAATGTTTTCCCAAACAAGCTCCCCTGTGGGCACTTTGCAGGCTATCCTCACCTGTCCCCAGAGCCTCTTGAGCAGGAGATGGCCACCAGCCAGCTCCTCACATCCTGACCCACTTTTCCTGAGAACTCAGCAAGGCAGAGTTTCACAGACAGGAGGAAATCCCTAAACAGCATGCAGCCCAGAGAGTGGAAAGTTTTTTTGGGGGGTTGGGTTTGTGAGGTTTTTTTCCCAACTTCCCCATGAATGTATTTGACAGTTCGCTGTCCCTGTCAGCGCAGGATCCCAGCGGAAACTGGAGCTGGGAGGGCTGTTCCTGCCTGGGGGAGGCTTCCCAGGACGGTGAGGGGTTTACCAATCGCCACCTTTCATTACCCATCCCTTGCTGCGTCCCACTGAAGGCCATGTGCAGTGGCAAGCTGCAGACAGGTTTGCTGGTGGTCGGCTACTTCGTCTACCTGCTGGTGGGTGCAGCCGTGTTCCAGGCGCTGGAGAGGACCGCTGAGAAGCAGGAGAAAATAGCAGCTGCCCAGATGAAGGAGGCTTTTCTGCAGAACTTCACCCACCTCACAGTGGCAGAGATGGAGCAGTTTATGAAGGTAAGTGCCAGCCCTGCGGAAGCCCTTTCTCCCTCCTGTTCCCCCATCAGCTGTTGTTGCCTACTCAGCCTTGATACAGATAATTTCACTGCATTCCTACTGATGTGGTCATTTGGATGATTTTAGCAAACCCCAAGCCCACTCTCCAGGCTGAGCAGGCAGGTCACACTGATGGTAAATACAGCTTGTGTAGCTTGACAAAATCTTGTGTGTTAGCTATTAACAGTCCCCATCCCATGATGTCTTGATTGTTTGGGGTCTTGCCTCCTGTGGATTTGGCTTTCGGTGGGGCTGTGCTCATCTACAATGGGTGGCATGGCAGGAAAAATGAGGCTGTCTGAAATGCATGGGTGTGGTTGCCACTTACAGCAGTGTCACAGATAGCACAGAGGAACAATATGGCAAGGTCTGAAATAATCTGTTGGGCAAAAAAAAGAAGCCCAAATCACTACAAGGAAGGTGGCATAGTCAGGGTTTACTTTTTGAAGATGCTGCAGAAGTGAAACAGGTAGCCTGGCCAAGGGAAAGGCGTTTCTGGTCATGGCACAGGAAGCTGAGAATGAGTACAGTTGTCTCTTCATCTTCAGTATTTCCTACCTCTATCTGCTACAATGCAGAAGAAAATGGGGAGTGCAAATAGCCTTGCTGTAAGCATTTCCGCATAGGAAACTAATGGAGCTCTTAACGGGCCAGTTTGCAGGATAAGGAAAGGAGGGGAAGAACTGGTATTTCCAATAACACAACCAGCGATCCAGCCCCCAGTTCACATATGCATGCACCCTCTTCACCTTGGATTTTTTTTTTTTTTTTTTTTTTTTTTTTTTTTTTTTTTTTTTTGTGGCTTGGGGAGGAGAAAAGAGAAAAAAAAAGAGGAACTTTTCAAGACAATGAAATCTTTGTGCAACGTCTGTGGAATGATTTCTGTTAGCCTTGATTTTCTGGGACACCAGGAAAAAAGATAGTGAAGGAGGAAGGGGGGGCGGGGAAGACTTTTCTGGTGCAGTTTATTCCAGCTTGTGTCTTGCCTCTGGCGGGGCTCAGCCCTGGATTTTATCTAGGCTGTTTCTGTACAAACCAGCCTGCTTTCCAGATGTCCAGTCCAATGTCCTCTGTTTGTTAAAGGCAGGGACAGCTGGATACTGTTTGGTTTTTTTAATTATTATTATTAAAATTAAAACCAAGGAAGAAGAGAAGAGTCTGAAAATGCATAACATGACAGATGATAGGGCTGAAGGGGCTTGGGAGAAACATCTAGTCAAACCCCCTGTGGCAGGGCAGTCTCAACTCAACCCAAACCATCTCTGACAGATGTTCATCTAACCTCATCTCAAAGGCCACATTGTCAATATGCGCATGTGTGTTCATGCATGCAGTTTGGAGAAGAGTGTATATGTCAGGCTGAATTCTGATTGTGGTCGCACCAAGAGCTTTGCAAATCAATGGACTTTCTCTGAATTTAAATCTGTGACACTAATCAAAATACAGCCTTAAAATGAAATTCTCTGTGTATGTCATGTGTACCCTGCTATAACTCACTGATGTCCTCCTGGGAGGGATCAGAGTCACTGCTTAGTGTGCCTGCATACAGGTGGGTGATTAGATACTGGATCCACCATTGCCGTCTCAAGGGCAAGCTCAAAACCAGCAACCAGCCACTTCATCACTTAAGCCAGTGCGCTGTCTTGCTCTGCCATGTCCTAGTCATCCATAGAATCATTTTTTCCAAAGTACTTAGCCTAAAAGAAGCGAGGTCCCTGATCACACTAAAAGAAACAAGTTCTCCTAACACCAACTACAGCGGTCAGCATAAACAAGGCAAAAGACTAACACTCAAAAACACCAGCTGGCTGCTACCCAACCTTCGAGGTAAAGGTGTGAATAGTGTCAGAGTATCGCTGAGTACAGGTGAGTGGTATTCACAGAAGAGGAGGAGTAGTTGGCTAAATCTGTAGTATTCTTGCAGCAAGCACTTGAGAAAAGCAGCAATGTTGATGCCAAACTTTGCTTTCCCTCCCAGAACCTAACTGAAGCCATTCAGAATGGAGTATACCCTGTTGGAAATGAATCACAGATTGAAGACAGCAACTGGGATTTCAGTAACTCCTTCTTCTTTGCAGGCACAGTTGTCTCCACAATAGGTAGGTCTAATGCTTTCCATGTATGTGTGTTTGTGTGTGTGATATGCTTATCATGTCTGGTTATTAGGACCTGAATGGATAATACTTTCAAGGATAAAAACTCCAGTCCTTCATTGTCATGGATGGTAAGCAGCAACAGACTTGGTCCTGAGACCTCACCACTGCACAGCTCTTCATGCATTATTTTGGCTTGTGAAATACCAGTGGCCTTTCATATTATTTCCCACTTGTTTCATCTTTTCGAGCCATCTGTTAAAATGTTCACTCTGCTGCCAGTTGTGGGTGGGAGACAAACTTCACTTTCCTGGTCTTTATTCTAGGGTCAAATAGGCTTTAAATCCAAGAGTGCTGTAAAGCATAAAAGAATGGTAGGAAAGAAGTGAACTCTTCTGGGGCATGGACACTGTCTCAATAACCTGTGCTGAGCTGTTAGTGCACATATTGAATTAGTAATATGCCAGGAGGAAAAAAAATGGGAAGGGGGCAAGGCAAATGCTGAGACTTTTACACTGCTGCTTCAAGCTGTTCTGACCTTTTCAGGGGCTGCCTGCCCCTGCCTGCCTCTCCCTTTCTCTCAAATACGCATCCCAAAAAATGCAGGCCTGCCAAATTTAAGCATAAAATCCACACTGTTGGCTCCTGCTTCACACTCTCATGTAGGTAAAGTCAAATCTATGTTTTTGCAGAGTGAAGCTGAGGCCTCACTCCCACTACACCCTAGGCACAGCTGCTCCACTGATCCATGAGTGTGAGATGTCACAAGGGCCCCAGTGGTGTTCGGCATCATGGTAGGTGTGCAGGTGTTGCATGAACCCATGTGGAGACCTCCTGCTGTAGAAGAAATAAAGGCTTCTGACCCATCACATCAATGACAAATGTTCCATGGTTACAACAACGTTCACATATCGATAAAGCTTCCCTAGTTTGTCAGCACCCTGCTACTAGCCAATCTGTTCCTTACCACCACCTGTATTACTGTATTTTTTCATTACAGCATTTCTCTGCCATACAAATCAATTGCTTCCCGTCAAATTTGTTTCTCTAGTGAGGCAGACAGGCTGTCCCAGGAAAAGTGCAACTTTGCCTGTTTCTCTGCACCTTCACCACAGAGGTCTGTTGTGAAGGTACATCAGGTACTTCCACTCATCTTCACCAGGTTTTGTAATGAAAATGGAATATTTCTGCAACAGGGAGCACAAGACAGCTCAAGCATTTGGGGGCCTAGCAGCCAATAAATCACTCAGTTGTTTTATTTGTCTTTTCACATGAAGAAAACATTGCATTTTCCAAGTAATGGATGCCTTGAGATGAACTGTGCTTGGCAAAGTGCCTTTTCTCAGGGTCACTGATAGAGTAAGGACATACACAAAGTACGGGACTCTTGCACTCAGGGATGTACCTCATGGGGTCTAAGAGCAACAAATTCTCCAGTTCATTAAAGGACATGTTTGGAGTTCTGCAGCCGTTGTTCCACTACTTAGATAAATCCTCTTTTAGTAGGCCTTTAAGACAAATATCTCTCTGGCATGAATAAATCAGCCACCAGTAAGGTCTGGACTAATTAGCACCATCTATTCTAATGCACGCTGTACTGCCTCCAGGACTGAAGCCAGTAGCCGGACATACCAACTTACTGGCATTTAGCCAGGGAGGTCACTAACACACAGGCAGATTGACAAGAAGCTAGAGATGGCTATATATGATTCTGACATGGCAAACAGCCTGGGACTCCAGTCTTGATGTCTTCCAGGTCCCCAGACTTCTGGTTTCTGTCTTTCCATGTATTTGTCACAGGACAGAGCATGTTTTCCGTAACTGCTTTTAGATTGTGCTTTCATTCCCACTAAGGCTAGGTTGGGAGCACACAGTGCTCTCTGCATCCCCCAAAACATGCAGGGTGACTCACTTCATCTACCTACTGCCTTTTTCAGAGAAAAAAGAATGCATGTGGACTGAGAAGTGCTAGCCACATCTTTTGGGGTCAAAGGCAGGCCAGGTTGGTGTAGGTGTGAATGTGACCGTGGACTGCTCCAGTTCTCTGGAATATCTCCTCTGACCCATCTTTTTTCATAGGCTATGGCACGCTACGTCCTAAAACTGCTGGGGGCCAGATCTTCTGTGTCTTTTTTGCTCTGTTTGGAATCCCTCTGAATATTGTGTTTCTGCACCGTGTCGGTAAAATGCTCTCACTGCTGTGTAAAAAGCTGGGGAAATTCCTGTACGAGAAAGGAATGAGAAAGGTAATTGGTTTTACTTACTCAGGCACAGTTATATGCTCATTTCTAGGTTTTTTTTTTCTCAAGATATATGCTGGCATTATCCTCCATTGTATTTGTTCTCATGCTGTGTTAGACATTGTGCTAGGAGAGGGAAAGGCACATTCTTCACTTGCAGAGCTAAACAAACAAGGCAACCATAGAGGAGATATTCAAAGAAAGGGATGCATTTTGTCTACCCATCTAAATGGCAGATATCCAGCCCCCTTCAGCAATCAATGGAGAGAGTTGGCACCTCATCCCACTTCTCTAGACACTTATCTCAGGAGCTAACACTCTAGGGAAGTACGTGTCTCCCTTTATAACCACTAAAGAGATGATTAAGCATCTCATCTTGAGGCAGCAAAAAGCAGGTGAGCTGTAAAAAGCTGTAAAAAGCAGGTGAGCTGTAGGGGTTTCAGTGGATATTGACTCAATGCCTAGTGTGTCACCCCTCCTTATTCATTATGCAGTCCTTTAATCCCTCTCCTCCCTTGACTTTGACAGAAAGGAAACATCAGGCTGAAGTTGTCCATTTGAGCCCAGTTGCTGAAAGGTGAGGAGGCACCTGTAAAGGGCTAGAGACCAGATATGTCTTGCCTGGTTATGCCCCAAGTTATTTGCAGCTCCTCCCCTTCTCTCACCACTACTGAGGAAGTGAGAATAGCTTTTCTGTGTCTCCTACCATAATTCCCTTTCAGGTAATTGGCATTTAGGACAAGGTATGAATGCTACAGACAACCCTGTTCAAATTGCTAAATTTCTCCCCATGTCTGGCGAACTTAAATAGAACATAAGGCTAGACCCAAGCACATGCACAATGCACAAAGCCATAAAAAATTATCCAACAGTTGCCATTAATTTCCAATCTGGTCTTATAAAATTCTGTACATAAACTGTATGTGTGTCTGGCTGATTGTCGTGGTTTAACCTCAGTCGGCAACTGAGCACCACGCAGCCGCTCGCTCACTCCCCCCCTGCCTCGGTGGGATGGGGGAGAGAATTGGAAAAGCACAAGTGAGAAAAACTCGTGGGTTGAGATAAAAACAGTTTAATAATTGAAATAAAATGATAATAATAATAACACACAAAGCAAGTGATGCACAGTACAATTGCTCACCACCTGCCAACCAATGCCCAGCCAGTCCACGAGCAGCTGCTCGCCGTACTGAGCATGACTTGCTTTGTGTATTATTATTATTATCATTTTATTTCAATTATTAAACTGTTTTTATCTCAACCCACGAGTTTTTGTCACTTGTGCTCTTCCAATTCTCTCCCCCATCCCACCGGGGGTGGGGGGGACTGAGCGAGTGGCTGCGTGGGGCTCAGTTGCCGACTGAGGTTAAACCACGACACTGATAAATCTTAATATATAGCAGGTCTTTTTCTCCAGTCAAGGCTTCTTCATGACTGCTGGGAAGTAGGATGGTTCAAAAGTCACTGTCCAGGCACTTCTTCATCAGGAGCTCATTTGTTAAAGGTCTTCTTGTAGTAAAGTATCCACTGGGTAGGAGCCAAGTTGTGGCACTGATGCAATGAGAAATATAGTCAACAATCAAGACTCTTGGAGATAGTACTGTCAGAAATGATGTAAATATTTTTTTTAAAAGTCTATTTTCCCAGGCAAATTTGAATGTTCTTTAGGTGCCACACCTGAATACCTAAAAACTAAAAATGAAGTTGTCTGGTGAAAAGTGGAAACAGTCTGACTCCAGTAAAAGTCATTGGGTAGGAATTCCTCCTATACTCATGGTCATTGGAGGTTGATACAATCGCATAAAAGACTACATCTCCCAGGGCTACTGTGGACATGCAGCACCCATAATACATGGCTTCCCCCTGCTTCAGAGCAAGGCTAGGGTACTTTTAGAGGAAGAGCACTCAATACAAATCCTTTAGTTCCTGTGGTCCTAGTAGGTATTCCTAGATAGCCACCCATTTTGAATAGCCACCATTATATATGGCCTGCTAGTGTGTCAAATCATGATTATAATTTAATTTATTTATTTCTTTTTCAGAAGAAGATCAAATTTCTGACCCTTTTGTTCTTCCTGGCAACGGGCATCCTAGTTTTTCTGTGCTTGCCATCACTCTTCTTCCAGATAACAGAAGGCTGGTCCTACAGTGAAGGAATTTACTTTGCATTTATCACCCTCAGCACCATTGGCTTTGGAGATTATGTAGTAGGTAAGGTTGATTTCAGAGAGGAGACACAGCAAAGCGCCAGGGTTATGACTGTAATTACAATGGGTTGACTGCACAGTCTACCACTGTACTGTAGAGACAAATCTTCTGTCTGAGTCTGACTAGTCTTTGCCTTGTACAGTTCTGGGGGAAATACTCATTTCTCTGGGATTGCATGTGCTGACAAAAGCACAAAATTGCCTAAATATAATGAAATGTGGTGCTTTGGGGTGCAAAGAAACCAAGTAATTTGGGGAGGGAAGGGGAAGTGTAGGGGGAGAATTCAAGGAGCCTAGGAATTTGCATTTACCAAAAGGGAACAGTTTGTGATAGTCGTACGAAGGCATGTATCCCTGCTTTAGCCGTCTAAGACTTAAGTTTCAAAGTGTAGAGTAAAGAAGTAAGTGGTCATGTTTCAGAAGACATGATTTTACACAGCAGACTGAGAGGTGGAAATCCCAGTCATGGGAAAGTGGGGAAATCTCATTCTATGTGAAGTGGGGCTTAAACATATATATTACTGCAAAAGTGACCTTCTTTAGTCTCCTATGCATCACTGGAGGCTCTCTGTCTTCACAAACCAGAGCTTAGGATTTCCCCTGAAGACGAACTGTTTAAGCTACACTCCAGCATGCTGGAGTGCTTCTTGAAACACTTCTGTGGATCTGCTGACCAAAATACACTGTCCATGGAATAAGCTTACAGAGAAACCCCAAAATGATCACCAGGAGCCACATCAGTGTCCACAGAAGAAGTAATCAAATACCTGGACTCCATGCAGAATCAAAGATTTCTCTACAACAACCTGTCCTGCCCACATCTTGCCAGCCTGAACTTCTCTTCAGTGGGGATATGACAAGGAAGCTCTGAAGCTAATACTTGAGCACCAGTGCTGTCCCTAGAAAGAATCTGGAAGCCTCACGTCCCTTTCCGATGGACAGACATCAACCACACAACAAACCCTGGGCTCTCAAGCCTTGCAGAGATGCAAGAGGGGCCTTGGAGACTGGCTGGCAGCCTTGCTGTGTGTTTGCAAGATTTCTTACATCAGGCTGAGGACTTTGGCAGAGGGAGCCCACAAGCTTTTCCAGACACTGTCTGATGTTCCCTGCTGACCTTAATTTCTGAGTCTGCTGGAGAGGCTGGGTAGTACTTTGACAATACAGTTGACATCTTGCTTCTTTGCATGAGTTTAGTGATCGTAATGATCTTGTAGCCTAGATCATTAATGAATGATGGTTAATTCATGCAACGGCAATGAGTTGATTAGGCCACATTTCCCCAAATGATCCCAACCAGCTACCTACTCTCTCTTGCTACAAAGCACAGGAAACCATCGTCCCCTGAAATTCCCCTTTTCACATAATCCAGAGAAAGAGTCTTTGTCTCCAACAGTGGTTAAACAGTATTGCCATGAACACGACACAGAACTCAGTCATCAGCAGGGAACCTGTATCACACAACAGTGGCTGGGGCCAATCTTTGTCACTGCAGCGGAGGACAAGGGCACAGGCATTTATTTCCTAACCATCTGTAGGACTGATAAACCTAGCCTGTGTGATACTAAGCACCTCAAACTTCAGTGACATGGAATACAGGAAAGTGGAGAGTGGCTGGTGCCATGCAGGAGAAGAAGTGGACATCAAACTGGTGCATTCTCTTCCCTTGTCCAAATTACAAGTGAGCTTTACAATAACGACAGCAAGTCACAGTCTGGAAACCACTATCTCCACAGGACTTTTCTCCTCTGCAGCCATATTATTTTACAAATACAGTTAAAAGATAACAATTGGATAGGCCTCCTGGCTCTGTGATTTCATCTTCGTTAGGATGACTTAACTGGAGCTGAAATGTTTTTCCCTGCAGTATTTATTTCAATTGGCCTTAAACAACGGTGATAAAATGATAAGTGTAATGCCTCACACCTTCACAATGAAACAAGCAGAATCAATGACTGCTCTGAGTATTATGCGTTTAGAATTGATTACAGATGACAAGTGGATTTGCACTAGCCAAATGGAACAGAACAGGTTTTAGTTTATTTGCATTTTAGTAATTCAAAACTGGTTTGTAGCTGTTGTACTTCAAGCATGAGATAAAGCCTGTTTTGGGTAGGGAGACATCCTAGGAACATGGCAGAGTCTGGCTTTAACTGTTTGTAATACATGTACACATAGGTGATACTTCTAGGGTGAAACTCCCCTTGGGCTGTAAACCAAATCTATGCCCTGCTGAAGTCCAGATTTGAGTTAACATTACAAAGATATTACTAGTTGCTTTGCTAACCCCACATCATGAACTTCAGATAAGAGCACAAAAGGAGATGCTTTGTAGCAAGGCTGGCATCCCCTCTGCCAACTCAACCCCAACAGAAGAAAAAGAAACAGCTGTTGGATAGCTATCCATGAGGACAAACCAGCCCACTCCTGCCCCATTTCCAGAGCTCTTGCATGATGAAGTACAAAAATCCTGCACATTGATCTACGCAGTACAGAGCACTGCAGGACTTGAAAAGACTTGCCAGCATCCTGGCTCCTTCTGGGCAGCTTCACAGTGGGAAATGATCTACCAGGTTTGTGGTGATCTCCCTGTCCACGCACATAGCTGTGTTATCTACTATGTAGAGTCACCCTTGACAGTGACTTATAGCACTCAATAAGCAATATCACCAAGTTTTCCTGCAGATGTCAGGGCCCTATCAGCTGTATCACGATGATAACGTTGTGTGGGACTAAGTGCAGTAGGAGCAAATGCTGTCTGTATGTTGTTGGTGGATTGCTGACATCTGAAGAAACAAACGAAATGACCCATGCAGAAAAGCGGGTGTGCGATACTGGCTGATGCTAAGAGGTTTGGACTGCATGAAATAAGCTTTGGTCCGCTGGTTTCCAACACAGAAAGTTGTGTTCTTGGCATGTGTCAGTGAGTTCTCATCAGTCACCTAATTTTTTAATGGAGGAAGCTCCTGAAGCTGTTCAAAAGTAAAGTAGGAATTGCAACTACTCTCTTTGTATCATCAAGGGTACCTATAATTTAAAGCAAATATTTATTAGGTTATAATTACACTTTATAGAAATACACAGAATTACAATAACCTAGGTAGTAACAGTCATGTGGTTATAGTGGCCCACTGTGCTCTGCTTTTTGTGCTTTGGGAGTTTGGGAATATTTTCAAGATAATACAATTTTACACTACTTCCCACATCATTGCATTTACCTGTAGATGCAGAGGTTGAATGGGATTGGTATGCTATAAGGGGAAAAAAATATCCTGCTCTGCTGCTAATTCGCCTCAATCCCAGTATATCTTTTTGACAGGCCAGCATGTTTGTGCTGGCATATATCAGTTTATTGCAACAACAAGAGACTTGCCCAGCCTTAACCTAATGCTGGGGAGGTGAGAGACTTGACTACAATGAAAAAGCCTCCTTAAAGTACTCAACGTAAAATATATTGATGAATCCATTAGGCTGGCCCACTTTACACAGGCAAAGCAATTTTAACTTGTTAATTTTCTTCTTCTTTCTCTCCCCTTATCTGCAGGTAAACAGCCTGGCAGGAATTACTTTTCCTACTACCGAACACTGGTGGCCATTTGGATTCTTTTCGGCCTTGCCTGGATTGCTCTCCTATTTAATTTATTGACAACGGTACTAGAAGATACTGAAAAAATAATTGTCAAGGATCTCCATCAAATTGGAAAGGTGAGTAAGGACAATGAAGCAAGCCAACAAAGAAGATGCTGGCCTGCTCAATTTATTCCAGAAGAAGAACTACTACCACCACGTGCTGGAGGGGACGCATAGAAAATAGTGTCATTAGCAGCAGATTCTGAACACGCAAAAAATGAAAAAAATGTTTTTACTTATAGCAAAACTATTGCCATAACATATGGGAATTGAGTTCTTCATTGGAGAGTTGCTAGTGAATTATTCTAAAGAAATACCCATGGAAATAAAATTTCTCCTACCTTTTGCTGAGATATGACCTTTCAGAACTCAAGACTTACAGTTACAGAAAGCCTGAATATTAATGGTAAGAAATTTGCTCCTCAATTTGCAGCTAGGTTGTGCTAATAACCTGAGAAGTGCACTTGTTTTGCAAGGCATTTTTAAGGTGCTCCCACAAAAACGCAGAGGAGGTGCACGGTAGAGCTTGCTGGTTCTATTTGGATTTTGCTGCTTGCAAGAAATCATGTCTCTTCCAGGAACTGACATGCACAAGCTTTTCTGAGGCATTGCATAGCACCTTTGGAAGAACAAATAAAGGTATATAACTTAATAGATGCCTGATTTGAGCCATCATATTGGATAAGCTATTATGATCTGAAAGATATGTTTAAAGGACAAGACCTGGGCTCAGTTCAGAGACACTAGAAGTATCTAAATTGGCAGTGTTAGAAAAAGGTTAGTGTGGCAGAAATTATTAATTCTACCTCTTCCTGTTTTATACTAAGATGAAAAAGGCAATTTCACCTTTTATCTCTGTGGCTTTGAAAAACTTTTCCGATGGTGTTTACAGAGAACATATAAACCCATGTCTTTAATTCAAATTTTATAATTTTATTCTATAAGCATATTATAAGAATAGAGACTGGTTTGAATGGAGGAGTCCTCACTGCTGCTATGTTTGTATTCCATAGGAGCTATAAAGTAATTTAAAAACAATTCTGTTGTGCTGTGCTAAGGTAGTTTCCCAAGTGTGAGTGTGGTCTAAACAGTGCGGCCTTACCTTCAACCAGGCAAAAAAAGGATGTCAAATCTGGGCACGGTGTTTCAGATGTACTGCCTGGCATGCAGGCCATCCCTGGGTGAAGACCCTGGCCTTTAAAGGCTCAATCTACGTGTCAGGTGCCTTGTGTGTGTCAAGAGTGCATGAAAACCCTACCCTGAAGTGCTGGCAAAGCATCTGTGGTAGTCACAGTCATAGAGGTGGAAAGTCGCATGGGTGTATATGGTTACACTACAAGTCAGTCTAGTCCAATATCCTGTCTCTGACCATGCCTACTAGCATATTCATCTAAATAGAGTAAGTACGAGGTAGCTCTGCCATGCTCCTGCGCTGGGGTGCAATCCCTCTTCCAGTAGTTGGTGGCTCAAAGGCTGCCCAAACAAGAGGTGGGGACTCTGTACTTCAAAGTCCATGAAACTGCCCAAATGCTGAACTCACATCAGCACCCACAGGACCCACCCAAGGCAGTCCACAGGTTCAGTACATGAAGTGCCTCCCGTTGACGGTGCTGAACGTGTCACTTGACAGGTTTTCGTGATATCCTCAGGTTCCTATTTTGTCAGACAGTGAATAATTGTTCTCGGCTCACCCTTTGGGTGTTAGTTACAGCAACACCAGCCCTTGCCAGAGCTATTCCTGTATGAAAGGGAGAATAAATTACAGCTATAAAGCAATTTTAGGCCATAAAGATGCAATCCGCCTTGAAGTTGAATTCATAACTATTTCAGTCAAACAGAACCACACTTCTTGCCAAAGCAGCTCTGCTGGTTCAAGACCTGGCCTGTAGACATGACCAAATATGTACTTTCTTTCCCTCCCCAAATTATTTTCCAGTGTTGCCCTCAAGGCTGACTTCTCACCTAATATGTCTCACTCTCAGTAAACCTTTCTGAGGCAGCAGGAATAAGAACTGACCAAAATCGGGACAAGGTGGCAGAGGTATCATAGGACACAGTGGTCCTTGTGCAAGCCATGACCCTGTTCCTATCACAAGGTGACACCATAGCCAGGCAGAGAAAGCAGCTGGATGCTCCTGGGCAGGGATCTCTTCACCTCTCTGTGTTCCCCTCACCAAGCATTGACTCACATTATTATTTTCCAGGCATCATTTTTTCTCTTCTGTCTTTTCCCAGCCCTTCCTACAAGGAGCATTAACCCCATCCCCAACCTAACAGAAGTACTGTCAGGGCTGGTTTAGGGAGAGGTGGTCCCGCCTTGGCGTGTGATGGCCATTTTCACAGCCTCTCATAGTTCCTTCCAGGTCAGTTCCTGGTGTTTGATGCCTCCCAGCCCCAAGGTGGCAGGCAGGGCCCCTGGGCTAGCACAAAGCATGTCTATTTGCTGTCTCTATTGCTGGGGAGAAAGAAGAGCCTCCAACGAGCCATGAAAACCAAATACTTCCCATTTCCAAAAGTCAGTCTGCCCTGTGCAGCTATTGTCATGGGTGCAGGCAATTCACCTTTTAACTCACCCCTCTTGCCACACTCCCCGGGTAAGGATGTGCCCCTCAAGACAAGGCACAGAGAGACTGAACCACTCACCCAGGACCAGGGGATGCGGGAAATGTGAGCTGGGAACAGCTGTCATGGGGCTGTACTCATTCAGGCACCAAGAACTGAGGTGTCCCTTCAGCTGTAGATACCAGCCTGGGAACAGAGAAAACACATCCACAAGCATAAAAACCATAAAAGCTCTCAGGAGAAATTCAGATAACTGCCCTAAGAAAGAAGACTAGCCATTCATAAATCCTCATACCTGCAGGGAGGCCTTTTGAAGAAGGGTCTCAGCTTTGCTTCTCGTGCCCTCTCGTGGCTGTGTGCAGCAGACCCCCTCCCTTTGCATTTCGGCCAAGTTTGGGCAGTTTTACTCTACCTCTACTGTGCAGTTCAGCTGATGTACCTGGTACAGCCCTGGCCAGTGCAAGTCCCAGGGCAGTAATTTTGTCAGTGTGAACCAGAGGAAGCCATCCTGTATTTTTATGAATACATAAAAATATGTATTTTTATGTATTGTATGTATGTATGTAAAAATAATGTATTTTTATGAACTGCATAAAAATACAGGATGGCTTCCTCTGGTTCACACTGACAAAGCTGCTGCCCTGGGACCTACGAGCTCGCTAAGGGCTAAAACATGCCTCATTCTCAAGAAAGAAATGGGTATGGGCACCCCAAACTGGTCCAGCCGGGGATCCTGCCTTGTCAGCAAACCTTCATGCGAAGGACCTTCACTGGCAGCACGCACGGTACTGACAATGGGGTATGCTCCTACCACATGCCCCATGCACCAGCTCCCCCTGCATAACGTCTGCTGCAGGACCGAGGCACACATTCACACCCTCTGTCCCACGGGGAAAGGGATTGGTCCAGAAAAAAATGTGCAAAATGGCAGGTTTGGGTGCAGGTTTTGGGGCCAGGATGAGCTGGCCTGTTCTGCGGCAGCCTCGAGGGCAGGCAGTGCCTCATGTGGCAGAAGGGGCGGAGATAGCAGCTGCAGATATGTGGAAGAAAGAACCAGCACCAAAGGGTGTGTGGTCCTCTCTGCTGGGAAAGGCAAGGGAAAAGCCCAGAAAAGCTGCAAGCCAGGGTGGGAGAGGAACTTTTTTGCATGCGATATTGTTCCTCGTGCTTACACTGAACAATAAAGTTGTCTCCAGAAGGGCTTAGGCACAGCAACAAATCTCTCCAGGGCTGGAGCAAGCAGCCTTTCAGAAATAAGCTCTTTCAGCATTATCATCCTCTGAGCACTGCACAACCGCAGCAGATCTTGTCCTCGCATCACCCCTGAAAGGGGGAGCTGTTGCTTTCTGTGCAGATAGTAGGGGCCCTAGAGAAAATTAAGTTTATCACCTGAGCTCATGCATGAGACCTTTGGCAAACACCTGGTCTGGTGTTCTTTCAACCAGGACCAGGTGTCCTGGTATTGCTTACCAATAAATTAGACCCAGCTAGTGGTTCTATAGTTGCTGAGGTTAAGAAAAATAATCTTGAATTGAGAGCAAAGTTAGAACAGAGCTCCTCCTCCACAGCTGGAGATTTAAAATGGTCTCAAGACTTTTAATTCATGAGTGTAAGCCAGGCTCCAGCTCTTCTGCGTGTTCCCCTTGCCCAAGGGACAGAAAACAGGAATAAAATCCATTTCGAAATCCCTGTTCTGCCAAGCGGCGAGGCAGCAGCAATCCTCTGGAGACCAGGCGGAGGGGTTCTCCATCGGCAGATTTGGAGCCTGTCCTGGGAGCTGTTCAAAAGCCCTCACTGTGACCCAGCCCCACTGCGCCGCTCAGGGAAATCCAATTTTCATGGAGTAGCCTCCTGTGCAACTGCCAGCTCTCCCACTGCAGCTTGTTTTCAAATGGGAAACATTTCCAAGGCAAGCCAAATACTTTCCCATACATTAAACCAGTTGCTGAAAAACTCCAAGAGCATGATCATAAAATACATTATCTTGGATTAAATGGCAGCAGCATGTTCCTGCATTCAGTCTGGGCTGTTCCTCATACATCACCCACGTCTTTGCTGCCAGCTAGCAAACAGTGTGCATTTCTGCACTTGAAACCAAGGAAATGCCATGAGGAATTATCTTTCCCTGAGAAAGAAGCCCCTCAGAAATTCAATTGCCTCCAGAGAGAATAAGAGAAACTGCACTTTGATCTGTCTTTAATTAGTATATGGGATTGTTTAGGGATCTTTTAAGGTCTCCTTCAATTAATAGCCAGTTCATTTGGAGAGATTTTTTTTTTCTGGAAGCAGAGAGACTACTCAAAGCAGTGGAACAGCTTGGCTAATGTAACATCATATAGCCAGTGGGATAATTTTTTTACAGAAATTACTAAACGTGGGCCACACGCATGCTATTTTCCACTCTGTCACACTTGGACATGTGCTTTCTCGCCTGACTCGTGACCAAAAGGCACTGGATCCAGCTCAGAACTGGTTAACAAACATAACTAATGACTCTCCAAAGGCCTGTTCTCCATTCCTCATGATCGCAGCCCAAGAAACAAAAAAAATCAGATTTTGGTGTCAGCCAAGTCCCCTTGTACTATTCCAGCAGGATTCAAAGTGGTCTTAAAGATTTTGTGCAAGGTTTTATACCAGCTCTCACACTGTAAGAAAAGGGGATCCCTGGGATCCCTGGCGCATGCAGCTGAGGACCGTACTGGGGCAACGTTGCTGGTTCCATGCTAGCAAAGTCAATATTTAGCTACTCTGGGGCTAAAAAGCTGGGGGGAAGCAAAAA